ACGGGGAAAAAAAAAAAAAAAAAGAAAAAAAAAAAGAAAGGAGAAACGAAAATTACCGAAAGTTCGAATGATCACCGTTTAGAATCACATTCTGAACTTCCTGCGTCGAGGCAATTCCTACGTCGAGACGACACACTCGCCGGTGTTTGGCACCTGGTAGGCACACGGCTCACCGTATAAAATGCGGATACGTGTACTATCAACGACGAACACAATACGAACGAACGAGATATCGGAGGTGGGTCGAGGACGCGCGTGACTGACCGTGACGTTCATGTTTTTCTCTCCGATGGAAGGAGGGGAGGGGAATAGGGAGAAAAAGCGACGGACGACGAGCTTTTGAACAAACTTTTTGAACACCGACTATTCGCTCGAAAGCCGGCTGCGCGAGGACGAACTACCTCACAGGGAGACGAACTCGTGCGGCGGTTGTATGATCCGCGGTGGCGGAGGTGGCGATAATCGCAGATCCGCGTCCGTCAGTGAGAACGCGGAACTCCCGTTGGCCGTCACGCGGGGCCCCATATTGTCGTAAGGCGAACAAAGGTCGCTGGATCGCAGCGCTCGTCGCGGCAGCGTCGCGAAACTGGACACGCTGCTGCCCGCGGACGTCGTACTGTTCACTACACCGCTCGTACCGTGGACAGGAATGTCCAGAAGATCGGGGTAACAACGATCGGAGGCGTCCTGCGGCATCGACACGGAGATGAATATGTTGCCGAAGATTCCGGCTGGCAGGACGCCGCTGGTGAACTCAGGCGGCGGCGGCGGGAACATGGCGGTGCACGGCACGGCTCTCATGGCGTTCACAGAGCCGCTGCTCACCTCTGGCCGCAGCCTCTCGACGGTGACAGTGGCGGCGCTCATGGGATCGCAGATGGACCCTCTCTCCGCCAGTTCGAGGTCACCGGCGCTGCAAGCTTCCACTATACTGCCGTGGCCGCTGCCTCGGTCGTTGCTGTTCCCAGGCGTCGTGGTCGTTACCGACAGGTCCAGAAGCTTCTTCTCCTGGTCGCCGAAGCTGGTGCTACCTTGTAGCTTCACTTTCTCTCGAGCACGTTGCCGTCGAGTACCACCGCACACGCACAGAGCCAACAGAACCGCGGAAATGGAAGCGCACAACGCGGCCGCTCCACCACCGGCCAGGCTCACCCAGAGCAACCAGTTGTCGCTCTGAGAGAGCGTGGGCGACGTGTACACCCGCGGAATAGCGACGCTGACGGTGTCGCTGGCCAGGCCGGCGATATTCTTGGCGAAACAAGAGTACTCGCCCGCGTCACCGTCACTGGCGTTGTACACAGTCAGGTTGTTCCATCTGTCGATCAGTCGACCGGACGACGAGGCTCGCTCGTTGCTGTAACCAATACCGACGTCGGACGTCGCGTAGGCCACGTAGGTACCCGAGTAAATCTGTTCGGTGAGTTTGGTCGCGTTTACCGGGCCTCCGTTCAGTTGCCACCAAACTTCCGGCTCTGGGTCACCGGTGGCTAGACAGGCCAGGCTCAGGTTCCCGTTAGTCTCCTCCTGAATGCTACTGGCCAGCACGAACACCTCCGGCCCGCAGGCAAACTCCGCGGGCTTCACATCCTCCCATTTACGACCCTCCAGTCTCAACGGCGACGAACACATTTGAGGCACAGAATACAATTTACTGGGTCTGCTCGGGATCAACCAGGTTCGAAAGTCTCTTAGCTTGCAGTCGCAGCTCCACTGGTTCCCGTCTAGCGTCAGTGTTTTCAAACGTGGCAAGCTGGATATCACCGATACTTCCAAGTACTTCAGCTCGTTGTGGTCCAGCCTCAGTGACTCGAGACCGACCAGATGGACGAACGCCTCCCCATGGATCTCGGACAACGAGCATCGCTGCAACTCCAAGTTCCTCAGATGTTGCAGAACCGGGAATTGATGGCTCCTCAGCCTGTTCAATGGGTTACCGCTCAGGATCAGGATTCTTAGCCGTTCGTTGCCGAGGAAAGTGTCCGGCTCCAGCATCTCCACGTGATTATCGGACAAGTCGATCTCCACCAGAATCCTCATGTCTCGGAACGAGTCAGCGTGGATCTTGTAGATGCCGGCGTTCCTCAGGAACACCCTCTGCAGATTCACCAGGCCGGAACGCTTGAAGATCTCCGACTGCAACGCCGGGATTTTGTTTCCAGACAGATCGAGGACCTGCATGTCCGGGTCCAAGTTGGCGGGTAACGAGGTTAGGCTAGCGTTGTAGCATAGGGCGGATTTCTTGCCGGACGTCCACTTGCAACGGCACGTGGCCGGACAATCGGTCCAATCCGGGAACGCGACCGCTTTCGAGAGCAACGCGAACGTGCTGAGCAGAATGAAGAGGGCCAGCAGGATGCGCCCTCGCAGAGGGTGGTGCATTGCCCCTAACATGCCACTGTCTCGTTTCTCTTCGGCTGTTGCTAGTGGATCCCTCTTTCTCCGTCTACTGGAGATCTGAAAGCACGCGAGACTTTGTTAACTTCTTGCGTCACGCACGCCGACAATTTCTCGCCCCAGATTGCAACATTTTCGCAGTTTTAAGGTAGTCTGGCAATCCGATTTTTTATCCTAAGGAAATCATGATTCATTTTGGTACGCAGTTTTCGCACACAGATCTATTCATACTTCAAGAATATTCATACAATTTTTTTTTTAAATGAAAGTTGTGGAAATTACATAGCCTTA